ATACAGTTGTTGGTTACCTCCAAGATGTAAGTGCCACTATTGTACTCTTGGGTATATCTTGCCATTCTGCCCATTGTTGGGGTTCATAAGCTTGGCAGCTGGGTAGGACTTTTAATTGCCTTTCTCCATTGGCAGCTTGCATAGCACCTTTGAATACTATTGGTAGTTCTGATTTTTGTGATGATTATTGATGCCTATGTAGGATAAACAGGAGATGATCTCAAGACATCCTAATCCTTGTAATAGCAATCTGTGTTCCAAGGAGATTTATGTTTGCTTTTTGAGCACACAGGAATGAATTAATTACCACGAGAAAAGTTTTTGCCAAATTGTGCTGTGATGAAATATGCCTAAAATAAACTACTTGGGGTCAGATTTCTGAAGTTTGAATCAACACACACCAGCTAATAAGTCATGCTGAATTGAGACGTCTTCTTGCCTCCCACAGATTGTTACTCTAATAGCCATGAAGGTCACTTGACAGCCTCATCCCCCACAATGACAGATAGTGCTGGATGTAGTACCCTAATCTAGCAGTTTTACTCTTTCAGAACCAAAAATACAACCTTCTGCCCATTCTGGGCTCTAAAGTCTCCACTGAAAACTGGTTTACTATTCTAATAGGCCAACTTTGCATATGACTTCGCCCATCTGTTTGTCACTCCATTGTCTTCCTTCTAAATACTTAGTGTTTGACTGTAATATGATGTGGGGAGTTTCTCCTCTGGCCCTGTTTGGCATTATTTGTGTCTCTTGTACCTAGATGGCATCTCTTGCCCCAGATTTGAAATCTTTCTCTTTTATTGGAAATATTTTCTGTGTCTTTGGTACCTAAGTCTCCTTCTTTATGCATATACTATATAAACTGAGTGTTTTACTGTGTCTTACAGATCTCCTTTGTTCCTGCCAGTCACATTTTTGTCACTGACTTTAACCAAATGGTCTAATTCTTCTCCTTCATCTTCAAACCCTAGTATTTCATCCTCCATGTGATCCATTCTATTGGTGATGCTTTCCACTGACTTTTGTATCATTTGGTTTATTGAATTTTTCTTTTGGAGAATCATTGCTTTTTCATCAGTATTTCTATCCTTGTTGAATACTATTTTTATCTTGGATCGACTTCCTTATTTCATCTAACTATTTGTATTATTATGAAATTTATTCAGGATTTTTCTTGTGTATGTTGGGGGGTTTCCTCTTAAAATTCTTTCACGTGTGTGTGTCTTTTTTGAGCTCTTGGATATAATTATATCATTTTTTTCAATTATCTGCTCAGAATCTTCTAAGTCATTGTCATGGTAGCCATTGCTATGGAACTAGTAGCTTTTGGAGGGGACATTTTATCATGAGTGTTCCCGACACTAGTGTTTCTATATTGAAATCTATCCATCTGGAGTATTTATTGATTTTTACTTTCTGCAAAACCTGTGTAGGATTTTTCCCCCATTACTTGATAGTGTACCTGCTTTGTGGACTTTTGCTAAGCTCATTATTGTTAAAAATTCAGTCATGGAGAGACTTGGTATTGATTCACCTATAGAATAGTCAAAGGTGATCTCATCTGGATCTCAGGGGCCATGGTTTCTGACCTCATAAACCAGATTCCATGCTGTTTGGTGAAGGTTGTTCCAGGGACAAGGGCTTTATGCATCCTCCAGGCTCGAGAACTGGAGTTTGTAAATGCTTAGGAATTTATATGAGTGTTAATTGCATGAACTGGAATGTGTGTGGGTGTGTGCAGCATTGTGGATGTGCACCAGTGTGAGTGGCTCATAGAATTTCCTGCTTTCCTACTTGGGGAGTGTGCACTGGGATGTATACTGGAAACAAGGTATCACAGGTGGTCATGCATTCCCAACTTCACAATCTAGGGTGTGCGCGAGGTAGAAATTGTGTGAGTGTCGGTCCCAGAACACCTAGCGTGCTTGGCTAGGGTGAGTAACTGAGCATCAGAATTGTTTGTATGGAGCAGAAGGTCTGGCTGGGGACCTCTTGCTAATCAATTCAGGTCAGTTCGACAGGGGGAAGTCATGCCTAGTACTAGGAACCTACTTAACTACCTGGAGCTAGTGACATCATAGATCTTTGAGGAAAAGCTATTACTGCTACAATACTAAGCCACCATAATTTCCAACTTCATTTTAAATATATATCCTTATACCAGTAAGTGTCGCTCCCACCTCTCGTTATAGAAGCTTCTCTGTACAGCAGACTGAGACCATTACAAAAACTACAACTAGTCAAGATGCAGAAACGACTAACCTTGGAATGCCCAGGCCTGATGGATACATCTACAACACAGTGCATGCACCTCAGGGGCCATCACAGAAGAGGTACTGGAAATATTGTACAAGCCAGAGAACTGAGAAGTCTACCATCGATTTTTGTCTCCTAGAAATTACAGGGAAGCTACATCCTTGGTATCTCAACAAATGGGCTGCCTAAGCATGATGTGAACAATAATAATACCCATTGACATGTTATCATGAAAAGGAGAAACCTCACAGAATCCCGCAGCCTAGACAAAGAACTTCAAGAAAGTAAAGGTTGCTGACAGAGGGAGAATAAGTCTTTCCCAAGAATGAGTCCTCTAACTGGTCATTCAGTACCAAGTGGTCAGCCCTGCAATCATGTACATACAAGCAGAACTTAATGGACACAGCAAGTGTATTCATTTATTTATACATTTATGTATCTGTAACAATACCAATAAGAAATCATGAAATGGAGAGGGAGGAGGCATGGAAGGTGTTGGATGGAGGGAAGGGAAGAGTTGAAATGATGTAGTTACATTTTAACTATTTTTTTTTTAATGTTCAAGATCCAGTTGCTGCCATGGCTGGGTTCTGATGAAGTTTCTTCTCTTGGAGTCAGACCTTCCTACTGCATCTTCACATGTCAGGGAGCATGGACAGTTGAGGGTCCTGAGTCTCATGAGACCCCCTCATTGGATTACAACCCCACCACAACCTCATTTCACCGTCATCACTGACACCTTTTTTTTTGCTTGAAAATAAATATTTTTCCAGGTTCTGGCTTTATAAATAATGTTGCTATGAACATAGTTAAACAAATGCTTTTGTAGTATGATAGAGCATCTCTTGGGTATATTCCCAAGAATGGTATTGCTGGATCCTGAGGTAGGTTGATTCCCAATTTCCTGAGAAACCACCACACTGATTTCCAAAGTGGTTGCACAAGTTTGCATTCCCACCAGCAATGGATGAGTGTTCCCGTTACTCCACATCCTCTCCAGCAAAGGCTATCATTTGGTGTTTTTGATTTTAGTCATTCTGACAGCTGTACTATCCTGAGTGAGATAACCTAGACACAAAAAGATGAATATGAATATGTACTCACTCGTTAGTGGACTCTAGCCATAAACAAAGGACATTAAGCCTATAGTTCGCAAGCCTAGAGAAGCCAAATAACAAGGTGAACTCAAAGAAAAACATATATAGATCCTCCTAGAAATTGGAAGCAAACAAGATTGCCAGGCAAAAGTTGGTAGCATGGGGGTGGGGGTAGGGGTGGAGGTGGGGCTGGGGGAAGGGAGGGGGAGAGAGAAGGGAGAAAGGAAAGACTGGAGAGAGCTTGGGGGAGTGGGAGGGTGGAGATGGAGGAAGGGCAAATATAGGAGCAGGGAAGAAGGTATCTACATTAAGGGAGCCATTTTAGGGTTGGCAAGAACTTGGCTCTTGAGGGGATCCCAGCTAGTCCACGGGGATGTCCCCAGCTAGGTCCTTGGGCAGCAGAGCAGAGGGTGCCTGAACTGGCCTTGACCTACTATCACACCGATGTTTATCTCGAATGTCACCATAGAATCTTCATCCGGCTACAGATGGAGATAGAGACAAAGACCCTCATCAGAGCAATGGACTGAGCTCCCAAGGTCCAGTTGAAGAGCAGAAGAAGGGAGAAGATGAGCAAGGAAGTCTGGACCTCGAGGGGTTGGTCCACCCACTGAGACAGTGTGCCTGTTCTACTGGGAGCTCACCAAATCCAGCTGGACCGGACTGAATGAGCATGCGATCAAACCGGACTCTCTGAATGTGACTGACAATGGGGGCTGACTGAGAAGCCATTGATAAAGGCACTGGGACTTGTTTCTACTGCATGTACTGACTTTTTGGGACCCTAGTCTATTTAGATGCAAAGCTTCCTAGGCCTGCTTGTAGGGGGGAGGGCCTTGGACTTCGCACAGGGCAGGGTTTCTGGCCCTCTCTTAAGGAGGGAAGGGGAGGGAGGAAGGTGAGTGGGGGAGCGGGAGGGGAATGGGAGGAGGCGAGGAAGTGTAAATTTTTTAATGGAAGAAAGAAAGAAAGAAAGAAAGAAAGAAAGAAAAGATATTTTTTAAACTGTTGAGAGTTTCATGTGTATCCACAATTATTTCAATCATGTCTACTTCCATCACCCCTGTGGGATTCCCCCTGGAGTCCTGCCCCAGCACATCTGCTTCCCAGTTACTTGTCTTCTTTTCCTTTTAGAGAAATATCCCACTGTGTCTAATCAAAGTGCCTGAGGTGGGGTCACCCACACCCGTGGGAGCACATTTACTTTCTAATCACCGCATCTCCAAATAAGTCACATCGTGGATGGAGGCGTCAGGGATTCTACAGATGAATTGGGAAGGAATCGCTATTTGAGTCATATCATGAAAAATACTTACTTGAATATAATCAAACTTAAGTGAACCTCCAAAAACTGTATCTCAAGACAGCAATTTTTAATATAATAATGATTTTTAATTATTTACAGTTAAACATTAGAAGACTTTATTTATAACTGCTACCAAATATTTGGAAAGAATAGTTCCATTTACCATTGTAATAATAAAATAGTGTAAATTTTATGTAGAATGTGAGAAAATATACATCTAAATCGCAACTTTTATTTCATTCAGCTCCAAATTTGTATTTATCACAACTTAAATAAATACTTTTGGGAAAATAAAACAAATCTCTAAGGAAAAAATCTTGTATCAATGTATTTTTTTTTTTTACTTCCCCTTGAAACAGGTCATCGTGCAGCATAGGCTGCCCTCAGAGTTGCTGTCTGAATTTCGCATCCCACTGCCTTCATCCTCATGTGGCAGGATTACAAGCGTGCACAACCATGCCCAGTTTATACTGTGTTTTCTTCCCTCCTAATCAGCCTCATGCCACGTCTCGCTTTCCTGTCAGGACCCTTCTCAGGGCACCCTGCACATCAGGGTTCCTGAGGCTGTAGATGAGTGGGTTCAGCATGGGACTGACGACAGTGTTGAGGATGCCAATGCCCTTGTCCTTGTCTGAAGCCTCCACTGACCCCAGCCTCATGTAGCTGAAGACACCTGTCCCATAGAAGATGCCCACCACAGTGAGGTGGGAGCCACACGTGGAGAAGGCTTTCTTCCTGCCCTCAGAAGATCGGATTCTCAAAACTGCAGCTGCCACATGGATGTAGGAGGTGACGATGAGAATCACAGGTGCACCAGCCATGAGGACCCCCAGACCAAAGAGCAGCAGCTCATTGAGCTGGGTGCTGGAGCAGGAGAGCTGGAAGAGCTGGGGCAGGTCACAGTAGAAGTGATTGATCACATTGGGGCCACAGAAGTTGAGTGTGGATATGGCCACAGTGTGTGTTAGTGCATTGCTGAAGGCACAAGCCCAGGATGTGGCCACCAAGATCCTCTGGACTGTGTGGTTCATGCGGGTGCTGTAGGTGAGGGGCCGGCAGATGGCCAGGAACCGGTCATAAGCCATGGCTGTCAACAGGAAGCAGTCAACACCAGCCAGCAGATGGAAGAAGAAGAGCTGTGTGAGGCAGGCTCCATAAGGAATTGAACGCTTGTGGGTCAAGAGACGACCCAACATTGAGGGAACGGTGACACTGATACACCCCACATCCAGCATGGACAGATTCCCCAGGAAGAAATACATGGGAGTGTGAAGTTTGGGTTCCACCAAGACAGCTGCCAGGATGCTTAGATTGCCCCCAACTGTGAGCAGGTAGGCAAAGAAGAAGATCACAAAGATGGCTGGCTGCAGCCCTGTTGACTCTACCAAGCCCAGAAGAATGAACTCAGTAACTGCTGTTCCATTGCTCTCAGATTTGGACTCCATGAATTCCTGTGATAAGACACTTCAGAGTAGAAACGATCCATCTTTACTATAATTAGTTAATAAGAATGCACAGGTACATTTTCATACGCTATGCCTGAAGGTAAGCTTATGTGTGTCCCAGCTGTAGTGTGGTAGCTTGAATGTAATTGGCCCCCATAAGCTCATAGGGAGTGGCACTATTGGGAGGTGTGACTTTGTCAGGGAGGAAGTGTGTAACTGTGGGGGTGGGCTTGGAGGTCTCTTTTGCTTGAGCTTTGCTTGGTGCCACAGCTACTTCCCGTTGTCATTGTCTTCCGATCACTATGTAGCCAGCACCATGCTCTCCACCATATGTTAATGCACTAAGCCTCTAAAGCTGCATGGTGTCGCCTCAATTAATTGTTTTCTTTTATAAGAGTTGTCATGGTCATGATGTCTCTTCACAGAAATAAAAACCCTAACTAAAACAGCTGTTTTCTCTCCTCTGACCAAACCTTACTTATTATCTCCAGTTCTTGACTTTTACCTCAAAACCTAACTTTTTCATTGCCTGATGGTACCATTACTTCAGACATTTCTCCACGCACCATGAGAAGTAGTTAATGGATAGAGAAGATGTGAGATATAAAATAAAACAAAGCCAAAAATGCCTACTGTGAAGCTGTCTAAGTAAAACTCAAGAGGGAGACAAAAACATGGGAAACTCAGAATTATGAGAAAATTAGTAAAGTAGGAAAGGTAATTAAAGTCAGTCATGATACATGAAGGAGGTTGATTCAAGTTGAAGGCCAACCAGGCAACACAGTGAGAGGAGAGACAATGGGAGGAGAGGCAGGGAGAGGAGCTACCCATAAATCAAGAATTTTTAGATAAGTATTTTCAGAACATTTACCTTCTATTTAACAAGCAAATGCCTTTCTTTGACTTTACTTTTTGTGAATTTTTTGTTTTTTCAATTGCAAATGTATTTGTTTTCTCACCTTTATAACTCTTTGAAGATGTCATATAATGTGTTTTGATTATATTCACCCCTACTTCCACTCCTCCCAGATCTGTGCCCCTTCCCTACCCAGTTTCATGTCCTCTGCTTTTTTTTAAGCTATCTAGTACAGTTTGTGCCACCCATATACTCCTGGATGTGTGGCCTCCGCTGGGGGGTGGTCTGCCTACCGGGAGCCATACCCATGAAAATTTAATTTTTAATCATCTATGTCTTCATTAAAATTAGCTTTGATACACTCACTTAAATTTCTGTCTTATTATTGGTGCTGTTGTTGTTGTGTGTTCTTTGACAGGTTCTTGGCACCACACATGGCAGTTTTTACTTGGATGCTGGGAATCAACCTCAGGCCCCCATGTGTATTTAGCAAGCCCTAGACTGACTGAGCCATGTGCCAAACCCCATATTTATAAAATGCCTGGTTTTCTAACTGGAAAACTTATTCTTTCTAGGTGTGCTTTTGTGTGATTGCTATGAGGCTGTCAGAGGAAAGATTTATACAAGGAATCCAGCAATATGCCTGCTGGTCCGGCCGCTAAAGAGAGGTCCTTCTAGCCAGGTGCCCAAGAGGAACATCTTAAATCCAGGCATTACATACATGCAGAATAATGAAACTGAATCCCTTTTCCTCACCATATATGTAAATGATCTTTTTAAAACGTACTAAAAGACCCAAAGAAAATATAGGGAATTGCTATAAAACAATAAGGGAAACACTTCAAGACAGCAATATTGGCAAGGTGGTTTTATGTAAGGTCCCTTAATCACGTTCATCAAAAGTAAAATAGACAAGTGGGATATTAAAATCAGAAACTTCAACATAGCAAAAGAAACGGAACATACAAGAAAGTCAACAACTCAATAGCAAGCACGCAAGTCATCTAGTTTTTTGCTTTATTTCTCTTAGGAGTTATGCCTCGAAGTACAGATTTTAGGTTAAGAACTATCAGCTGATTCATAAACATAGGCCAATTAAAAGTGTAGCTAAGAACTAGCAAAGGTGGATCTAAATAAAGACTATACCAAATAAAACCAAACCTGGAAACAGTCTGAATAGGCAATTCTTAAAAGAAGACACACGGCCAACAAGGTTGTGAGACAGACTCCCTTCTCAGCGGCCCATGTCGGTCATACCATGACTACAAAGCTCCAGAAAGCATGAAATGTCCCGCTGCTCATGCAACAGGAACAGAGACTCACTGTTAGAAAGCTAACTTGGCACTTTGGGAATTTTCTTCTGAGCTTGTTGGGGATGGAAGGTGATAAAATGTGAGTTGCCTCGTACGTTCAGGAGAGACACCAGCAACAGGTGAAACTCCCTGAGTTCTGGTCCCCATGTCCTACCCCAGCAAAGCTGTTCCAATGTTGCTAAAGCTGGTGAACCATGATGCAAGGGCTTTCCTGGTGCATAATTGCATGCTCATCTCAATACAAATGACTTTGGCAATGGTTTTTTAAAAAAAACAAAAAAAAACAAAAACAAAAAAAAACTAAAATGCTTAAATTTTGAAAAAATATTTAGTTATTTGTAATGATGAACATTCATGTGGACATACATGTGTGCCATGGCTCGTGTGTTTTTGTGTTATGTACATAGGTCAGGGGAGTCAGTTCTCTTATTCAACCATGTTAGTCCTGGGAATTGAACTCAGGTCATTGAGCATGGTAGCAAGTGCCTTTGTGTGCTGAGCCATCTTGCTGTCCCACAGAGAGCAATCTTAATGGCATATAGCTAAACATGCCCCGTTTCTTTTGTGAAGACAAATGATAGCTGTTGGTAAGATGTCTGTTTATACATGCTTTAGTGCTATCTCTAAGTAGAGGTTTTCCTTGCTGACATCCCACTTCCTTTTCAGTTCTCTCTGGGGCAGGTCCGATTCTACCCCACTGACCACCTCTTCTCTCCCAGTCAACAGTTGGTCCTCTAAATACTGAAGACATCCCCTGTCTCCACAGTTAATTTTCTGTATGCAACTTAGGCAGAGCAGCAGCAAATACAGGCACTCAGGGATAGTTGGCAGAGTATCAATCAAAATCTCAAATGCCCACAATATAGTGACTAGCTGCTCTGTGTGTGAGTTAGGTGGGGGACATTCAATTTGGTAACCCCCTTAGTCAATGGTCACATTCATTGTGTCATCCTGTAGGTCCTACGCATAGACCTAGAACTAATTCAGTGTCATAAGAATCAACAGATTCATTGGAAAAAGACATCCACAAGGCATGTCAAATAACCAAAGAATAAAGTCCTCTGGCTTGCTCTCTCCAATACAAGTTAACTCAAGCTGAAAAGGTGTTGTGCTCTTCAATCTCCTTTCTCCACAGCCTTCTCTAACTGTTTTGCCTAGAATGATTTCTTATTCCAAGCTCTAAACTTCTTTGTCTGAATGAAAATACACTTGCCTAATGGGGGTCTTCCTGGTTCCCCCAGCTCTATCTGCTCAACCTAGTTCAATCCTACCTCCCGACTCTACCTGTGCCCTTCCCGAGTCTCTGCTATCCACTTCTACGCCGCTGCTCCGCAGGGCACAGCTGCACTCCACTGTGGCTTGTGGGAAGAGCTCCATCTGGTTTAGCTTCACATTTCCAATGCCTGACATCATAGTTTATATACACTGGGCTTTCCATATTTCCAAAACAAATGCAGAATGAACTTAGGAACTAAAGCCACAAGACCAACATGATTTCAGCAAGGGGGCATTGAACTGGACTGTAGGGGCTTGGAAAGACTGTTGGATGAGCCAGAAGCTGTGTATTCTCATGCATCCAGTCTGAGACACAGACTTTCTTAATTGAGCCTTAACATATTTCTGATGTTCTAGCCAAACCCTATGGGTCTGATAATAAAGTCTCAGGCCCTCAGATGAATCAAGATGGCTCCTTGAGATACTGGTTCAGGCAGAAAGGCTGGATTCTCTGAATGTGCTTATCTGCCATTAGCAACCATTAGCAGGTTTCACCCAGGGAATTCGCCCAGATGGCAGAAGGGCCCTGGCCAAGGTCACCCTAGCTCTTTCTTTCATATGAACAAGACTTTCCCTACTGAATCCTCTGAAATAAGAGGTCTTCCTCAAGAAGCAGAAGGGAGCTCCCAGGAGAATTTACTCACCTGCTGGATGTGCTGAGGTGAGCAAGGCTTCTCTGGAAAAGAAAGGAGAGGGGGAGGCACTGTGCAGGCCCTAGTCCCAGAGATCAAGGCAGGGTCATATATAAGAAAAGGAGTCAAAAGGGGATGAGATCATCCTGCCATGGGGCCCCATCCACTGAGGAGTCACTCTCCAGGGACCTCAGAAATTAGCCACCCAGGAAGGAGTTTGGGGAACTGCAATCCAAAAAGTAAACCAGGTCTTTAATGAGCCAAATAATGATGTTTTGTGGTTTTTAACTTTTTTGAAAAGGTCTCACACTCAGTTCTCTAGTCTACCCTCATATTAGTTCCAGGATCATAACAAAGAAGTTTCCAATCCCATTTTTTACACGAGAATAATGAAGTCTCGTTTATTTATCATTTTCCCTTCAGTGTGGGACTTATGGTGGTGCCCACTGTGCTTTTATTCTGACTCTGACCCCAGTGTGTACTCTGAGCAGAGAGAAACCAAGTCTCAGTCTTTTATTTGACCTGGAGATGAGAAAGGGGCACAAGAAAAAGGGGCTTCTTTGAAATGCAGATGCCTATTGAGTCCTCATGAGTGCAACGCCTTTGCCCTCAAGGCTCTGTTAATAGAGGATCCTGAGGGGCGTGGAGGGATTTTATAATGGCATGACAGTACAAGTCCTGAGTTAGAGGAACCAAAGCTAGAGATGCCACCACACACTATGATTCTCCAGGGCCTTGGAAGCTGAAGGTCCTAATGATGAGATTAATAGCAGATGGCATGGGCCTTGGCAAGCCCTCCCTCCGTGCTCCAATCTCAGTTAACAGGAATTTCCAGCCATGATGGAGACCGTGCCTTTCCTTGGCTACTGGTGCCTCATTCCCTTTTTATGACTTTCTAGTGCAGCCTGGTGTAAGATGAAAGCA